CCAATTGGTCTCAGAATCAAATACTATAGAAACAGCCATGGTGAGGGTGGTGGTCGGAGAAGGGGGAAGGGGGATCGTATGAGGGAGCCTCCTGAGTCTCATGGTGGTGGTGGGGGTCGCATCGAGACCCCCCTAAAGGAGGGGGTCGCGAAATTTTTGAAAAAGTGCGAACGTCACGGTGGACCCTGCCTGGCGTTCCTGCCACGTGTTTCAAACGCGAAATGGGAACTACCTCCGGATTACCGGATTCAGCTACCTCTTTCAGGACTTCCAACGAACTTAATGGTGGACTGTATTAATAAAGCCGAGGTATATATTGAATGCACTAAAATTTTTATAGCTAACGAACCGTCTTTGGTGGCGCTCCATAGACATGCTCGATCTTCGCTGCCGTCGTCAACGAGTCATGCCTCGTTAATCGAGCCCTACCGAAGCTATCGTAATCCGATCCACTTGTCGAACTGGCCGAATGATGAGCTTCGGCCAGCACACGAGCTCTAGTGACTCGATACGTAACCTGAAACCCACTCATTAAAGCAAGCAATTCAAAACTCCACCCATAAATTGCTCCACTTTCCAAAACTAGAAAAGCGTAGTGAAGATATAATGCCTATTAAGCTAGGCTTCTCTTAAAACCGGCCAATTAATTTGCTACAAGAAATTACGGTAGCTAATTAGATAAAACTCACAAATGATCCTATCACCAAAGCAATCAGCGCTGACAGACCACAGGCCAAGAACAGGCTTTCTGGCGAGTGCATTCCTCTGCGGTTTTCCACCACTCGTTCGGAAGCCGGCTCTGAACAACAAAACCTCAGTTAAAAAAGCATTTTGAGGCTTTTCACACCTGTAAATCCTCAAGGGGACCCATCGTCTGATTTGAATGTACGAACAATCGACCCTAGACTGGGACCCTTGAGTTATTGTTGGCTTTTGTACTATTGGCATGTGATTCTCAATTAGGGAGGAGAGGGAGTATAAACTACGATACATATCCCTTGAGTACAAACCGAGCGCTCAGCTCTATAGCTCCATTCTGCGGTCCCCATTTCAAACGCCTCCCGCTATACAACTCCTCGAGACGATTGTCCCAATTTTTTCAACCTGGATGCTGTCCTTAGCTTTCATCATCTACAAAATCTCGCCTTTTTGGTGTTTTGCCCCCCCTTCCCCTCTCTCCCTCACCCCGTCACCATCTAAACTCGTTAGCCATCGAGTACATATGACCTCCGATC